GATAGTATTGCTTGGTATATGATTGCGTCAGATCGAGATTGAGCACTATCACTAACTGTATTTTTTGGAAATACAATACATTTTGTCAACAAATAAATGAAATGGTTATGTAAGGCATTGGACAGTCATTTTTTAAAAACTATTTCGTCATTTGTAAACAAACCTTCAACTCTCTTGCCTAGGAAGTGGGTTGGTTACGTATTTGAATATTAACGAATTTGTTTACGTCGAATACCTACATTATTTGATAATGTAATACATCACGAAAAATATTTTTTTAATTAGCATTTTCACTTAATGGAAATTTAAAGTACATTTACGTGTGCTTATCTCGTTGTAATTTTATTATATCGTTTATTTTTATGAACTTGAAATAGACCAAGACTCCCCGGCGCCATTCCGCTCAGAATCCCTCTGCGATCTTTGACACTAGTAAGATTATTTAATTACTGGAACTTTCGATTAAATATTAAAAAAAAAACCGTTAACCATTTCGACAGCCTGGAAAAAAATTTAAGGTTATCTCTCACTATTATCGCGTGATTTGCAATTACTTACACCATAGGCGTAGAGGGAGGGTAGCACAAAATTTTCAATTACGTTTATGGGGACCAAGTCGACAGAGCAATAGCCTGTATGGTAATGTGTGTTATTTGTATGTGCAATGTATAATACATGATAAATGTGCGAAAGCTACGGCGAGGGAAGTGCGACTACAAAGGCAGTGGTGTATCTTTGTGAAGGGTTTAGTTACGGCAGAATTTGATTATTAAAATGAAATATAATAATTAAAAAAAATTGGCAGAGAGAATTTTTTAGGTTAACTGTAAAATAAAGGTCGAACGGGGAATAATCACATTTGGAAAATTGCGCATTATTATTGTAAAAAGCGATGGATGTTGATGAAATTTATGGAAAAGACGGTCAATCCAAAGTCCAACATGTGTGCCAAAGGCCGATTCGATTGACCTTGAAATTGTTGCTCCAGCTATTTGTTAATTAATTTTGATTGTTTGCTGCAGCTAATTGTTTAATTACTAACCGTTAATTTTAGAAGTTGAAATTAAGTAGCCTTTTATAACTAACAAAGTAGGATGTGCAAAACAGCGTTATAAACAAATTTTCCCAAGATCAGGAAAAAGCCGCTCGGGGATTCGCTCTTTTTGCATTAAATAGAGCTTTAGTCCGGGCGAATTAGTTTTTTTTTTTCAATTTTGCCATTTTGACACATTCAAATCACGTGCTCTACAACCATTAACTTGAAAAATTCATCGAAGTCTAAAATATATTATACATTAAATATTTATTTTACTTTTAATATTCTTATAAAAATAAAAAAAAAACAACTTTCTCTAGCAATACAATTCATTAAATAAAATATGGTAGAATTGAATATAACGTTTTTTTTAATTCATGTTTTAAGCACTATTTGATGTAATTGGTTTGAAATCTGTATATTAAAAAACCGACGAGATAAGGACCCTAGTTACCGTTTATTTTGTTTTTTTTTGTAAATAATTTTTTTGTTTTGCAATTTAAATATCTGAAATTTACACGTACGCGAGATAATGTAATTACCTTTCGATCCTTTTTTACCGAATTTCGATATCTTCGACCTCAAAATGTCAGGTTCGATTTTTAATTTTATTCACGGTTTTGGTGTGAAATCTTCTTCCCGGATACCACACGTGCTTAAATAAATAATTTAAGCACATGTGGTATTATAAATGAAAAACTGAACTATAAACAAATAACAAGTATTCTGTTGATACCAGAATTTGACGCCAACAAGATTGGTAAACGTCAGGCGTTTGGCAAGTCTTTAGAATGCAACTCTTTCCGATTGCAACAATTGGGACAGCCTCGTGGTGCCAAAGTGCGTTTTCCTTGTTAAAAATAGGTGGTAACTTTCCCATATTTAATTTAACGATAAGGTTTGTCCGATTGTTTACCCGCTACTATTATCTATCACCATTTCGTAAATTAAACAAACGAAGAGAAAACAGAAGTGACCCCACAAATATGGAAATGTTAAATATAATTTAGATTAGACAAGAAATCGTGACCAAACAACTTTTAAGTTAATCGTATCCTTAAAATGTTGTTTTGTTGTTTATGTTGGACCTAGAATTATTTTATAGATCTTAAATTTCGCTTCACCAGGTTTGATTTCCAGAAAAAAGCTGTATTATTGTGTGAAACTACACAAGCACAACAACTTGAGGTAAATAACAAAACTCTTGTCTAGATAAAACCAAGAACCTACATCTTTAACTATCCTCTGTTGTAATCTGTAGTTTAGCTAATACTATAAAATTTTAAGTACCTGCGGTAATGATAATTGCCTCATATCCTCGGATTATAACCATATTGTTGCATAAAAATTCCTTGTAAAAGGATTTATATTAATCGTTTTGTTGACAGTGGAACTTTCCTCATATATAGGTATGTTTCTTTTTTATTAAAACAGAAAATTATACTTTATCTTGTTAATATAATGGAGTTTGGTTATTATAGTACCCGACCCCATGTTGTGACGTATTACCACTCTTGATTTTGGTTTCATATAAACTCAGCAAAAAAATTAAAGGTGCTGAACAAATTGCAAATGTTTTATAGCTATTTTACATCGACAATTTATTGGTGAATAAATTGACGAAGTTCTTCATCAATTAATTCACGAATTTATTGATAAACAGTGTGGTTTTACACTGCTACGGACTTTGTCAAGTTTTTTGACGCATGAATCAGTTCTACCAACGAATCAAAGAAGCAAATAAATTTCAAAAATGTCACCTTCCCACTCATAATTGTAGTGATACAACAGCGGTACCGTTCTGACACATATTATATAAATGTTTTTGTTTGTAAGTAACAAATCAGTAAAAACAATGCAAAACTAGTACGACGCCACACAATTATTTACATATTCCAATAACATAACCTCATTACTGATCTGAGGGTGGAAATCTGTTGGGTTGGTACTTCCGAACTTCACGAAGAAATTGACAAAAATTAGAACATGCTCTAATTCGTCAAGAACATGATGAATAAATTCATCAAGTTATTTGACAGCTGATTTGGTGCATTACACTTGTCCAATTTCTTGATGAAGCGACATCATGAATTAATTCATCAATAAATTGTCAATGTAAAACAGCTATTAGTGATTTTCGGAAGGTTGTAACGTAAATAATGGTCGTATCGAGAAAAAAAAGCTAGCAAAGCTAGAGTATTCTAGTTTTGAAATCTTGAGATGAAAATTTGTTTTGAACACTGCGCACAATCAAAAGAAATAATGCAAGGCAAAAATTTCACAATTTTTTTTTCGTAGGTTCAGAAAATTTATTTTTGGCTCAATCACTGCCAGGGTTATTTTGCCTAATTTATTAGCATCAATTGTTTCTTTTTTATTTTCTGTACCATTATTTCTCATTGAGATATTGAGTGAAAAGTGATCTTTCTTTTTGAGCATCGATATCTTATGAACTAATGATCGTACAGCGAACAAAAGCTGGGTTTTAGAAACCTGAATCACTCTTTCTGCGTTATTTTTCCCACAATTTCGCGTTAAATACTCATCAAATATCAAAAAAAAAATTTGAAATGAAAAAAAAAAATTTTCAAAATTTTTTTAAATTTAAAATAATTTCAACATTTGAAATATTCCATGTAAAATTGTAAAAATGAGGACGCCAAAATTTTTGTTTAATTTTCAAAAATTTGATTTGTTTTTAAATTGAATTTTTTTTCAAATAGAATCTAAGCTTCAAGATGTTTTTTTTTCTTGATACGACCATTATTGCAGCCTTTCAAAGATCACTAAAAAAAAAATTGGAATTTTTTCTGCTTCTTGAATTTTTTGCTGAGATTAATTTTCAGTTTGTTGTAATAAACAAATTGAACATTTTCCCTTTAGTACGAGACGATTTCACTGTCGCATAGGACGTTGTTATAACCGAGCTTTACTATATTTTACTTATTATTGGGTGCAGTTTTGTTAAATTTAACCCAATATGGAGCCAATTCCGATATTAGATTCAGTAATGTACTGGGTCTTACAAAAACGTCGGTCAGTGTTAACAATAAGTTTTAATATGTGCAAAATTTCAACTACTTGTCAAAAAATCACACTGTATCCTGAAAAAGAAGTGCCCAATTGACAAATCTAGGATGAATGGAAAAGAAACATTTTCAACCAATTTTTCTCCCTAAACAATATGCCTAATTTTTTTTTCAAAATCGATTCTAAAAGTTCTGATCTTTAAAAAGAATTAAATCATTACTTAAGAACAACCACACGTAAATTTTGAACATAATCTAACCGGTGCCAGTGGCATAGGAAGTAACAGAAATTTGGGAAAGAAAAAGTAACAATAGCTTTGTTTGAGCTAGCAATCCCGAACTAGTTTATTTAATTACTCCTTATTATCAAATCGGTCAAATTTGTGACATCATTATGTCGTCATATTCCCAAATCCTCTCTCTCGTTTTCTGTCATTTATGAAGTAAGGTTACTAAATACCGTAAACTTATTTCTAGGGGCGGCAAACGGATTAACAATTCAAGGTAGCAAATGAAACAGATACATATTAATAAAAAATATTTAATCTGACTGAATTCTAACTATATGCATAAATGCTTAGATTTGGTAGAGGGTAATTAGAATCTACAGTGAGAGAGAGGGTAAAAATCCAAGAGTCCAAGAATCCATTTGTAAATTTGTATCAATTCTTTATAATTATAATTGTTTTTATGTTCAACTGCCCCAAAAATAACAGAACAAAGTTTTGTGAGAATTTTGCGCCATGCCCAATATTTTGACGGATAAAACTGTTTTCGACATCGCCCCAATCTCCCCTACGCCCATGACGATATCAAATAAAGTAACAACTAACAACATAACGACCGATACGCTCTCCGTAAATAAGTACAACGCCGGTTAAGTCGGCTCAGTTATCATTTGACCATGGACTTGAAAGTTCGTTTCTGTCGTGCAGGTGCCCAGGCCCCCGGGAAGCCCCCCCTGAGCCAGTTCGGACCCCTGCTGGTGGCTATGGTCGGCCTGCCCGGTCGGGGAAAGAGCCTCCTGGCCAGGAGGCTGTGCAGATACCTCGACTACACCGGGGAGAAGACCAAGGGTGAGTACTGGACTCGATTGTTAAAGAACATAAATGTATTGTACTTAATGAGGGTTTCGCTGCCCAAGATGGCATGTTTAGGGGTAGATAAGGCGCGTGGTTACCGAGTACAACTTGTCAGAAACAGTCTTTGGAAATGTTGACTAAAAATCGTTCACGTAGCTGTCTTTTGTTTAAGAATCGTGTTGGTAATAAGAAAAAAAAATAGGTGCCTTTTACATTACTATATTAACCACTTACATAACTGTGAAAAGTATCTATTATTTATGTTGAATTTTACGAAATTATAAGAACTAAGAGATATTTGTGTGGATTTGTTATTTTCACGGACGGTGTTTGAAATGCGTTTGAGTGTATTTATTGCACAAGTAGTGAAATTGTAAATGTTAAAAGATTATTTCCTGTGCAATGACAATGCACATACTATGGCGAAAATAATAATACGCATATTGGTACGACGATTAAAGTATTTCAAATGGAAGTAAGTAAAAATATTGTAAAAACAAAAATCATGCAGCACATTTGATTACGTTTGTTAAAATATCAGGGAAATATGACTAATTGAACTTGAAAAAGAAATTTAAAAAAAAATTGTACAAATCAGCATCATCTTTGAAAAACTAAAATCGACTAAGAAATTATCACAATTCTATATGTATAGCCTTTTTACACGTTACAATAAATTGAATAATATTTTTATCAAATTTAAAGCTACCAACTTTTAAAATAAAAATCAGTCATGATAATGGCGAACCACAAATCATAGATAGATTTATGATGTATACTAGATTAACCGTTAAAGGCCACACTAGTGCGAATTCGCACCACCGTTTTTTTGAATAGCTGGCATTTCTCAGGTAGCAGCTCCTGAGGGTTCCCCCCATCACGATAATTTCTTTTATAGCCCAAGCAGTCGAGCCGTACCACAATTGGCCTGTCTGTTATTGTCTAGAGAGTCTGAAAAGTCCAATCGGTGCGAATTCGCACTAGTGTGACTTTAGCGCAGGCAAAAGTGTGGCTGAATTTATATCACGTGATCTAGAAATAAAGTGAATTGAAATCCAAATTTCCAATTTTTTTCCACTAGAATATTGTTTATTTAGTTATTGTTACTAATTGTTCAAACATTTTTTTTATTAATAATTTAATTGTAACATGTATTTGGCAATATTTATGGATAATATTGTGTAAATTAATATTTTTATATAAAAGAGTGGTAAAAAAACTTCAATTTACAGAAAAGGAACCAAAAATCACAATTTCAAAAAATGTCTAATTTTCTAGATATCGCGAATAATCGATAAATTATTTTATCAATATGGTTTCTTTTTTTTTTCTTAAAAATATAGGCTTTAGACTTCAAAATCCTCGTTTTACTTTTTCTCTAGCTATTATTTATAAAAAGAAAATACGAATTTAAAAAGTCATTTTTCGAAAAATGTTTTTTTCGATCACTTTTTTTTTTTCAAATTAATTCGATTTCTAGGAAAATTTTACCTATATACGTTATGTTTTTATTAACATATAAAGAAGATATAAAGGTTCAAATTTGGCAAAATCCCAATTCGCACTAGTGTGACTTTTGAGGGTTAATATAACAAACGGGTATAGGTGATTAGTTTTGAAATGTTGTAAATAAGAACAAATATCAAAATTGTAGAACATAACGAAAACTGGTGCTAACTGAATGAATATAAAATAATCACCAAAGTTGGCAAATAAATTAGAACTGTTAAAAATAATTAAAAACGAAAAATCACTAGGTTCAGAAGATGAAACGAGGAAATGTTAATTTTTTCAAGAGCGCTTTTTTTTATTATGATGTATTTTATTTTTGGTTAAGCAAAACTATTTTCATGAAAAAAAAACCCTTGACTGGTCTTTTTGTCGCAAGAATTAATTTCGTATATTTTTTATACTATTTCACAGGTGGTGAAATATCCAATAAATAAATAAATAAAATAGAACCAGTTGCCAGTTGTTCAATTTGAAGCTAGAAAGCTTACCATTGCTAATTTATTGGGTCGAAAATTAGTAAAAGTAAAATATGATTAAGATGTAACAGAAAATTTGGTTTTATATTCAAAAATGGTCTTAAACACTTGTCATTAGGATGTTCCGAATTGTACACATCAAACCATACTTGGTAATAAAATACGTCAAAATAATAAAAAAGATCATATAAATATGTCTTACAATGCTTCTGTTTTGAGATACTCTGTGAAATTAAAATAAAAAATCACTTATTTATTATTTAAATATTTAAAAAGTCCAAGAACATTGTTGGAAAAATTTTAAATTTTCTGAATAATAATTCCTTGAAAAATTTTAAATTGCTGCCACCATTTTTGCTTTTAACCGTTGTACTATATTTAGAATTATATGTCTAACAAAAAAAAACTCCTATAATATTTTTTGTAAAACAAGAATAAAATAGAAGACATTTATTTAAAAAAAAACGAATCGGAATTAAATGCACTTATCTAATAAACGAAATTTTCAGTGGTGTCGAAATTCATTTGATAAGTCAATGTGATATATATTTTTAATTCATCATAATGTATCTCAAAAACAGCGTTCTACGATCAATGTTTATAAGAACTACAAAAACGATTGGCGAAAATACAAAACGCTAATAGACGTAGGTGCGAATTTAAATACCAAACATGTTCTACTATTCATTTATGGTAATAGAATAATATTTATCTGTTTAGTATAAGATAAAAACATCCTGTAACAGTGATAAATTCCGATCCGTCCAAAAGCTTTTCACACAAGTTGATCGATTGGGTTATCATCATTATTAATACTTGTAAGTTATCGTTATCATCCAATTTGTAATGTCATTGTTGTGTACTTTCAAGGATAGACTAAAAAAAGCGTACATTGGGTAACGAAAATGTGTCGATAGAGTATAGATTATGCGTTAAGTACTACACTCTGCGTCAGAAAGGGAATAATTACAGTTAAGGACGTAAGGAAAAGCTTCGAGGCAAATAATTGCGTAAAGAGTAAAACGATTTTTACAAAAACGGGCAGGTGAACACTGAGTGTCCCTGAGATCCATCGCTATGTAAATAATTACCTGTTTTTCTTGTAATACGTAGATACATATGGGCATTAAAAATATGTACATAAGTAGATAACAATACCGAGTGGATTATTTTATGCAAATAGCAGTTACTTTTTAGCAAATGGTTATACATATATGGAATGAACAATATTTACTGTTTGGTCATTTAACCAGTCGGTGATTGTTGACATGGGGAAGTATACATAAATATAATATTACCTACCTCCATAAATTATTATAGTTCAGTTGCTAGAAGTTTTGAGATTTTTTCGTAGAGTGCGTTATTTAGGAGATATTCAGCTTATGCAAATCAGCCAGAAAAACACGTACTTCAAAGCGGCGCTGCACTAAATGTGCGACTACTCTTTCGTTTCTTGATGAAAATGCATGGAACAAAGTTTGTTCGAAAGAGGAAGCTTCAAACTTTCCTCCTATGTGCTATTTTACAGGGAAAAGTAATTCCTTCCTTCGGAAAACTATGTGGGATCATCGCGAGTAATAGTTAATCGAACTTCTTTACAAAGTTAATGGGACAAGTAATAAACTGTATAGATATAAACTAGTGGATCTACGCAACGACCTCGTCATTCTGAGGTCTTTGGATCTACGTATATTTTGTGAATTACATTTAAAAAGGCATTACACTTACAGATGTAATAAATCCTCAGTTTTCTACGAATCTCTTATCTCTGGACTATTAAGTATTAAATGCGATATTTAGAATGATTTTATTTGAGAAAAATTATAAACAAAAATCAAGGTACGATATGAAGGTTAAGTTGGAATCTTATTCTATACACTAATGCAAACAGTTATAGTCTGTTTGGAAATGAGAGATAAGAACCGGCCATGGGCGTGGTAATATTTCGTTTCAGGTAATTATCGGGTAACACTAATATTAACAGGTAATGGGTGTATATTAGTATATTTTATTGGATACATCATAGAGCAGGAGCCAGTGTATTGTGACAGATCAATCCAGTCTTAGAGCTGAATATACGAAAACGTACTAGTGCAGTAGAGTAAAATTCGACTTGTGTTTAGTGACTATTGTGCCAGTGGATATAATATTGTTTGGGTAAAATGTCGAGCTTATCAGATTACGTACCTGCTAAATGCGTGAAAAGATGTGCGCTGTCTCAGAATGAGAAGATTATTATATTAAATGTATTTAATGCATTGAAACACCAAAATCCTACCAACAGTGTTGACGACATCGTGGAAAAGTGGGAACTCGATAATTTAATTGACGTTACTGTGGAACCTATCGTTATCAATCTAGGAGACGAAGATAATTCATCAGAATATTCAGAGGATGAATTTTAATATACCTACTTTTTTATTTTCTTTATTGTACATTTATACAACACTACATTTACTCACCATAATTTGAATTTTCAAAATACATATATTTTTGTGTGGAATAAAAGTCTATTCATTAAATTTAAATAAATATTTTGATAATAATATTGAATAATTTTATTTGAATTACTAAAAACCCTCTTAACTCGGTTATGATGCTTAAAGTAGCCTCATGTTTTGAAATGCTGTTTTTATATTGTTTACTTATAAGAGAAATGGACCGAGAAATTGAAGCGGCATAGACAAAGACGGATTGTCGGGGATTACATTTTAGCTACCTGCTACAATTTAGTACAACACGGTCACACAAAGTTTTTTTAAAAGTACGCGTCATCTACACCGATAATACATAATATAAAAATATTGAATATAAGCACCAGTACTACATTTATTTACGATTTGCATACATAATAAGCTTTTATTACTCTCTTTCATTTCTAAACAGACTAGAGGGCCAAAAGAATTTCCGAAATTTTTCCGTGATTTTTGACAGGCTGTATTTATGTGAAAAATGGTCGTATCGGTAATTAAAAAAAAGCATTTTGAAGCTCTAAAATTCTAGTTTTTAGATCTTTCGGTCGAAATTTTTTAGGAGCTACGGTTATCATGCAATCCTAAGAAATAGTGCGACAAAAAATTTTTGCATGGACCAGATACCAGATAGCTTGTTTATTCAGCTTCAATTTTCTTTTTTTTAAATTTCGATAAGACCATTTTTCATCGAAATATCGGACTTCTAATGGAATTTGTCTTTGTCTTTTTGCATGGACCAGATACCAGATAGCTTGTTTATTCAGCTTCAATTTTCTTTTTTTTAAATTTCGATATGACCATTTTTCATCGAAATATCAGACTTCTAATGGAATTTGTCTTTGTCTTCAATCAATATCTCGGTGACAAATGGTCGTACAGAGAATTGAAGGGTAGTTTCGAAAACTGGAATAAATTTCCTATAACATACTGACGCAACTTTTTTTGGAAAATTTTTTTTTCATCCTTTACACGAATTTTAAAAAACGGGGAAAAATGGTAATTTATGTTTTTTTTTTAGAAAATTGACGGCTAAATTAGAAATATTCACGAAATGACTAATGTTACGCATGACTTTTACAGTTCGATATACCCAGAAGAACCCTGCGAAGTTTCATCTCGATCTAGTGAACCGTTTCTTTGTTTCAAGCAGTCAAACTTTTTAAAAAATTAGCTTAGACACTTCATAATCATGATTAAAATGGAAAAAAAAACAATTTTTTGAGGTTTTCTCACATTTTTATCGCAAATAACGTTTAAATTGATAAAAAAAAATGAAATTTTATTTCAAAGAAAAATGGTCGTTTTGAAAAAAAAACTGTTTTTTAAGAAATTAGAGATTACAGACTGCAAAAAAATTAATTAGAAATTTGTCTCAAAAAACTGTATGAATCGGAATCGAAATCTGGTTTGGGTCATCAACTAATTTTAATTTAATTAAAAGTTGATCAACAGAAGCATAGGACGAAAAAGCCGAATCATGCTGGAAACAATTGGAATTTGTTATCTTCAATGTCCGGAAGGTTTTTCAAAAAAAAAACAAAAAAACCTCGAAAAATTAAAAAATTTTTTTCGAAAAGACGAAAACAAATTTTTTTCCCGAAAAGTTGCGGCAACATGTTATAGGAAATTTATTCCAGTTTTTGAAACTGCTCTTCAATTCTCTGTACGACCATTTGTCGCCGAGATATCGATGATTGAAGACAAAATGATCCTTTTCATTAAAAGTCCGATATTTGGATGAAAAACGGTCGTATCGAAATAAAAAAAAAGAAAATTGAAGCTGAATAAATAAGCTATCTGGTCCATGCAAAAGCTTAACTGAAAAAAGATTTTCCAAGTTCGTAGACGGAAAATAAAAAAAAAATTGCAGAATTTTTTTTGTCACTATTTCTTACAATTGCAAGATAACCGTAGCTCCTAAAAAATTTCGACCGAAATGGCTAAAAACTAGAATCTTAGAGCTTCAAAATGCTTGTTTTTAATTACCGATACGATCATTTTTCACATAAATACAGCCTGTCAAAAATCACGGAAAAATTTCGGAAATTCTTTTGACTCTTTAATTGTTTGCAAATAAATTATTGTGATTCCTATGTAATTATTATGCTATGCGGTAAATTAAACGAATGCTTGATAAAATTATAATTTTCATGTGTACATAAAAAAATAATTAACTTCAAGATTGAGTAATGTTTAAATTGTTGTTATTCGAGTGATCCGTGTAGACTTTGCCTTTGTTTTGGGGATTGCCATGGACTTATGTCGTGATTCCTTATACAATAGCTATATTTACAATTATCTGACATTGTAGGTCATGTATTCGCACCAACTAATCAAAATGAGTAAAGATCTTGTAGTAAACCGATACGGTATCGTCCAAAGCACGTACACTTAGGATTTATAAATAAAGTAGAAGATAGGAACCATTCACAAATGAGTTTTCATACTCTTTTTAGTCCAGACGATATCTGTTTCAAAAAGCCATATTTGGGTGAATCGTATATTCACGGAGATTTTTCCTCTTCCATTTTCGCTTAAAATCAACTCTTGAAAACATACATAATGAAATAGGAAGAAAAATATGACATTTTTCGAATTTTTTTGAAATATTGTGCCGCCAAAAGTTAAGCCCACGTTTTTTTAATGCGCATAGAATATTTTTCATTTCTAGTGATATTTGAAAGCCAAAAAGCTAAAAATCTCCGTGGATATACGATTCACCCGAACCAAAACAGTCTAGACTAATTAGTTTAAATATAATTTCCATCTTGTTATAAGCAATTTTTTTTAAAACTCCATTGCCACAATATGGGTCTTTTCTGCTCTAGTATACGACATCAGTGACTACAGGCGCAAGCACATGAAGCAGTACCACTCGCACGAGATGTTCCGGGCCGACAATCTCCCGGCTTGGCGTATCCGCCAGCAGAGCTTCCGCGAAGCCCTGGAAGAAGCCGCCGACTGGTTGCGTCAACCCGGTCACCAAGTAGCCGTGCTAGACGGCCCCAACGTGTCCAGGGCTCAACGCCAGGACATCTACGACCTCATCTACGGCCAGCTGGGCTTCAGGGTGATGTTCATCGAGTGCGTGTGCGAAGACCCGGTGTTGCTAGAGCGCAATTTCAAGGTACGACAATCAGCGGTGCTGGTTTGTTGAAAATAGATGGAAAAAATGCTTATTTTTACAGGAAATCTTGCAGTACAGTGCCGACTACAGGAACATGGCGACGGAGGAAGCTTTGAAGGATCTGACTCATAAAATGGCGCATTATAAGGCTCAGTACGAATCGCCCACACTGGGTAGCCTCTGGGAGCTGCCTTGCCCCATGGTGAAGATCCTGGACGGAGGCGAAGGCGGGATCATCGCTCACGGAGTCTCTGGGCCGAAGGAGAGCAAGATATTGGCTTACATTTCATCTCCCAAGCCCTATCAGCAGACTCTGTACTTTAGCAGGGTGAGTAGATAAAAAATCATGCAAAAAATATTAATTCCTTAAAAACACTGGAGTTTTTTCTTTAATGTTTTTGCTCTACGTCCAAATTGAAAATAGAAAAATATGGTGACTATAAAATAACATGCCAGAAAGTCCTACAAAAGCAATTTATTTTTACTAAATTATCAGTTTAATTGAGCAACACTGATAAGCACGCCTGCCCAGTAACGGCGTAGACGAGAGTTTAACTTTAAAAAAAAAAAATTAAGATCCGATTATTTGATTTTAGAAAAATAATAATTTCAATTTCTGTTCTGGAGAACAGGTGTTGTTATTTCTAAAAACTGAACCACCCTCCCCTTCCACATACAGTTATGTAAAAAATATTAATCATTTAATAAAACACAATTTTTATGGCCAATAAATCATTTGTTTATATGTGTTTATCATTCGATAAAAATGTTCTTTGTAATAATTACCGGACTTCGTAACTACGATTCATTTTGTGGCAGCTTATAATAATTAGCAAGAAAAATGTTAGATTTATGTGGAATTTTGTGGTGAGAAAAAAACACCATCAATCAATTTCATTTTCCGAGAACAATTTCTATCGCTTTGGTAAACAGCAGACGTTGTAGAAAAAACGTCTGGAAAATTCTTGTGTCTCTAATTTGCTGATAATTATATATTTTCCACTTAAATTTTTATTGTGAAATAAGTTCCGTCATTGTTAAGATTTTTTTTTTCGTTGGTCGTTATTGTTTAATCGGAGTCATGCAAGGAATATTATCAACATACATAAATTACAGAGGTAGTCATTGTTTAAACGATATTAACTTAATTGGCCTCTATGTATAATCCGGTTAGTATTAGTCATTGTTACACATGATTTATAAAAATGTTTCTTTGTTGAAAATTACAATGTCTCAGACTGGTTTTAATTGAAAAACATAAGTAGACTCAATTGTATAAAACTTGATCAAGAAATTGCAGAATTTCCTTTTTTTTTTTGTAAATTTAGGATTACCAGTTTTAGAATAAAATATATGTTCTTGCAATTAATTTATTAAAAATTGTTTAAACTTAACTTTAATTTGTTTTTGGGTAATCGAGAGAACTTTTTTTTTTATTAAGCTCATCAACCATTTATTTATGTGAGACAATGATCTTACAAGTACCTGTTTCCATCGATTGATATGTTCAAAAAGAAAAACGAATGCGACAGCACAGTTTGATTTCTTGAAATCCCGGTCTGTCTCAGTTTCCCATTGAGGTGTGTCAGTGCTTGTCATAAGCATACGAGTGGGAAAGGCGTTCTATTATTTCCACATTTTGGTTTGGACAATCACTTGTCTGACTTTAATATATTGAAAACAGTTGGGAATATAAAAAACACTAAATAACTAAACTTTTTTTCCTGCAAGTCAGTGACGGTTGCAAAAGATATAACACCGTTTCCAGAATTTAATTATCATGTATCGTTTCCAAGAAAAACCCATTTCCCAAGTTGTATCTATTATCGGAACACCTTAAATCAAAACACTCTGTACACTGACTTGAAAAAATCGTTTTATTTCCTTCCGAGACACAACTGCTGCATTCTCGTCTCAAAATCGGTGGGCAATATTTATACTACTACAGCGTTACCGCCTTAGCTTAATTTTCGAAACGACTTTTCCGTATAATTGAGCACCCGACTAAGCTTTGCAATAATTTTTGTGTGCAGCATGGTGAGAGCGAGTACAACGTGATCGGCAGGATCGGCGGTGACGCCAATCTCTCCCCCAGAGGCCGAATGTACGCCCAGTCTCTGGCCAAGCACATCCAGGCCCTGAACCTGCCCAGCCTCCAGATATGGACGTCCACCCTACAGAGGACCAAGGCCACCAGCGCCGGAATACAGGCACCACAGATACATCTGCACGAGTTGGATGAGATTTGGTCGGTGAGTAGAATTTTATGTAAGCTTGAATATATGTAACGTTTGCTACAAGATGAAATTAACTGCGAATTGACGTCCTAGCGCCCTATTGTCATATCTCATCAGGTGGATTGGTATTGTGTAGCCCACCTAAATTCGCCTCAATCGACATTGAGATTCACAAACTAAACACAGTGCTTTAAAAAAATAGTAACAAGTAGTAAATCAGTACACTTAGAATGTAGTTTTGTAAAATATGCCTATCTATATGCCAATATTGGTTAATATTTAATAAACCGTGTAAAAAAAATTTATTTTAAAATATCTTGACTTTAATATAACCTGTTGCAGTCATTCAATAGCAAACTGTTTTCTCGAAATTATTTAAGCTCTGCCACTCCATTAGTTTTATATACTTAGTTGATTTAAAAAGAGAACAACAAGCAACGTTGATAAGCGTGGACATACAACCGAGTTCAGGTGTTGCCCAGTGATGGCGTAGACAAGATTTTAAGTGCCCGTTTAAAAAATGTATTATAATCCGACTATTTATTTGATTTAAAAATAATAATTTTGGATTAGTAAAAATTGCCCCTTTACCCACGTATAATTGACTGTATACATGGTGTTCCAATTAAAACATCTCACCTGGAAAATGCCGGTATTAAAAAAAAGAAACAAAAAAACCTGAGACACGTTGATTTTCTTTTCAAAGGGGACACTTGATGGCATGTTGGAGGTTTGTTCAGGTTTTTTTTGTTTTAATTTTGATATTTTCAAGGTGGGATGTTTTAATTGGAAACATGTACGTACGTAAGAAAATTATTAGACATGAACTCCATTTTTAAACTTAAAAATTTTATTTTTGTTACAATTGTTACGCTACAAAAATGCATAGCCATTTTAAAAATTAAAAATTTGAACCTTGTCTTCTACAGGATCTTTTTATTTCTTTTTCTTCTACATTTTTCTATACAAGTTTTTGATTTTACAAAGATATTATCAAATTTTTGCATACTCGTTTAAATTAGTAGATATTGTTTTTACCATATCTTAGATATATCGGTACTCGATTTAAATTATTTATTTATATTTTCTTCTACTTTGCCATCTTTTTTTTTGCGATTATGTATTTTGTGCCGCGTGCAATGTTTCCTGATGGCAATCACCGTTTTTATCAACAATTTGGCATAGTAGCGGTTTTATTGCCCACTTACTAACAATCTAGGCAAATATTTTTCTGATAAATCGTCGAAAACACCTAATTTTAAGATGGATCTCGAATTGCTTTATAAATATTTATCAGATCCATTAAAAGATTACGACTTATCTTTGTAGCGGAGGGCTTTACGATCTTCTCGAGTGATTTACGCTTTGTTTTCACCACTAAAAATAGTTGAGGGGTTCCGAGAAATCAGCCAAGTGGAGTTTCTCGAAACCGAAACTTAAAATAGCCTGATAATTCTTTTGGTAATATGTTTAAATTTTGCGATTACGAAAAGTTGAAGTGTTTGCTCAGCTTTTATGTGAAGAAAAACAAGGTTGATTTATTTTATCGTGTGATTTTAGTTCTATTAATGTCACTGATGTTGATAGGAATTTGTTTTTGTTTTGATTCTATACTTAAAAACAACCTTGAGAGTACACTATTAAAGCAAATATCATTATCTTTTTTTTTATCGATAAAGTATACAGTAATTACTAAAATAAAAATTAAAAATGAGGTGTTTAAATATTGATACGAAAACACATATCTGACATACTAAAATTGTTAAATAATGTATTAATTCGAAGAAATACCTTGTTTGTTCTTGTTGGTCTAACATCACCCGCGGGAAAGATTAACATGTAAAAGTATCCATGATGGATAAGTTCTTACTATTTCTGCATTTTACTTGGGATATTTTTTTGCAAATGGAATTAATAAATATTAATGGAATAAAATTATGTATATACAAAACGCAAAACGTTTACAAATATTGAAATTTTAAAATGACAAAGTCAAAAATGTTGACACGGACAAAACTTTTCCTGGTCTGGGTTTATAGGAACTTTTTTCATATTTAAAGCAGTTCTATCACCGGGTAAAGTTCGGATTATGCATTTCGAGAGTTATTAAACAAAATATTTTTTTAAATCCATTTCCATCAAGAAAAAGTGGCACAACATAAAAAGTCACAGAATTTGTTTATTTATTTTTGTCGATTTTGAATCGAAATCATTTTTTAAGTTGCATCTATACAGGGTGATTCATTAACAATGGGAAAGTCGAAAGCTGAAGATACTACATGTGAAATGGTGACTATCGGCGCAAACATGCCTTATCCGAAAGTTGATAGTTTTGAAAATACAGGGTGTTGAAAGTTAAAATTTTAAATATTTTTTTTTTGCGATTATTCTGAAAATATGTTGGTTAGGAACTTGAAAATTTGTGAAATTATATTTTTTTAGGCGACGAATAAGATGCGTGTTGTAATTTCAGCATTGCTAATAGAGGGCGCCACTTACAACCAAGTTTACCGAAAATTTAGTTAATAACTTTTTATCCTGTATATTTAGCATGAAACTTGATTCGAAACCTGAAAGAGCTATCATTTTCCCATTAATTATGTACCTTTGTTTCATTTCGTTATCTCGATCCGTTTTCGAGAAAAATCGATTTAGCGAACACTATGTTTTGATATTATGAGAAATTAAAAGCGAAACAAACCAAGTGGTTCTTCGTGTTATTAAACAATTAACAATAAAACAAATAAAATACGTAATTATGTTTTAAAGTAATTGTTCGAAGAATCCACCGTTGACACTAATACACTTTACACGTTTTCTGAGAGATCTTCGAGTTTGAAACAACATATTGGGATTGCGTCTGACTTCGTTGGCAGCGATTTGTATTCTTTGCCACAACTCTTCACACGAGCCAATAGATTCTTTGTAAACTATATCTTTCATTCGAGACCAAATAGAAAAATCAAGAGGATTGAAGTCCGGACTTCTGGATGGCCAAGCAAAAATGCTTACATGGCCAATCCAGCGATTTGGAAAAACTGCATCTAAATATGCACGCACTGGCCAAGAAAAATGCGGTGGAGCTCCGTCGTGCATGAACCACATGTCTCTTCTTAAATAAAGTGGAACTTCTTCAAGCCGTGGAAGCATTTTTACTTGGCCACCCAGAAGTCCGGACTTCAATCCTCTTCATTTTTCTATTTGGAAGAATCTATTGGTTCGTGTGAAGAGTTGTGGCAAAGAATACAAATCGCTGCCAACGAAGTCAAACGCAATCCCAATATGTTGTTTCAAACTCGAAGATCTCTCAGAAAACGTTGTGTAAAGTGTGTAAATGTCAACGGTGGATTCTTCGAACACTGACTTTAAATCATTATTACGAATTTCATTTGTTTTATTGTTAATTGTTGTAATAACACGAAGAAACACTTGGTTTGTTTCGCTTTTAATTTCTCGTATTATCAAAACATAGTGTTCGTTAAATCGATTTTTCTCGAAAACGGATCGAGATACCGAAATGAAACAAGAATACACAATTAATGGAAAAATGATTGCTCTTTCAGGTTTTGAATCAAGTTTCATGTTAGACATACAGGGTAAAAAGTTATTAACTAAATTTTCGGTAAAATTGGTCGTAAGTGGCGCCCTCTATGAGCAATGCTGAAATTACAACACGCATCTTATTCGTCGCCTAAAAAAATATAGTTTCACAAATTTTCAAGTTCCTAACCTACATATTTTCAGAATAATCGCAAAAAAACGATTTAAAATTTTAACTTTCAACACCCTGTATTTCCGAAACTATCAACTTTCGGATAAGGCATGTTTGCGCTAATGGTCACCATTTCATGTGTAGTATCTTCAGCTTTCGATTTTCCCATTGTTAATGAATCACCCTGTATATAAGAAATGTTTCCTGTCTATTGTCATTTTTTAAAATATTGTATTGTACTCTAAAATTGTATTTAGACAACCATGTATACGACTAGGAGTTGTTTTGGTTGCATACTATTTTTGTGGTAATCATTTAAAGAGCAGATAGACAGCCAGCAATACATTTTTATAGATTTTTATTACACAGTTTGTTTAAATATGAATTATTGCACAAATAACAGACTTTCCCCCATTCTAACATAGATTTGCTATAAAATGGACTTAGTTTGAAACTCAAACTACTTTTTGTTGTGAAGAAGTTTGTCATTTGCCGCTTTTGAATACACAATTGCATAAACGTTTTTGTAAAATTTGACATCGTTCTTCTATACGACGAATTATTTTTGCAGGGTGAGTGCGAGAGCCTCTCCTACGAAGAGCTACAGGAGCGCTACCCCCGCGAACTGGCCCTGCGCGACCGCGAGAAGCTCAAGTACCGCTACCCCCAGGGCGAGTCCTACGTAGACGTCATGAACCGTCTCGTTCCCGTCCTCGCCCAGCTCGAGTGCGAGTCCAACGTCCTGACCGTCTCCCACCAGGCGGTGCTGCGCTGCATCCTGGGTTACTTCCTCGAGACGCCCCCCGAGGAGATCCCCTACATCCACGTACCCCTCCACACCATCATCAAGCTCACCCTGCAGGGCTACAGCTACAACATGGAGACCATTAAGATGCCGATCGAGTGCGTCGACACCAACCGGGCCAAGCCGTTGAATTGCTCGGAGGATCGCACGGCCGAAGACGCCCTTTTCACCCTGCCGGCACATTTCGACTCCGTGACCCACTTGAACACCTTGACGTCCTGTACTTAGCTCTGGGTCGACTGCTGCTCGTTCGTATAACGCTTGGTGTTTTGGGTGTTTGGGGTCCGCCTGTGGCGTAGACGGTTGGGTTTCGAGGTGTCGGGAGGACGGAAACGGTGAGTGGTGGTCGTCGTCCCGGCTTTTTTTTTATGGAGGCAAACAGTAATTAGAAGTTGAGAATTTCTGGACTAAAACCGTGTTTTTTTTATTTCCTAGGGCTAATTTTATAAATTAGTCGTAAGAAGACTCAAAGACTGACAAATTTCTACGGGGATGAAATACAGTTTTTTTTAACGTATGGAATCGGAATTGTGGGTAAAATTTGTTTAGTTTTGTTTTTTTTTTTGTGATCCAACTGTCTATGTACCACATTGGGTGTTGATTTTATAAGTTTGTTTAAATTTTTAAGGGACTTAGCATTCGTAATTGCACTTATCGGACGAAATACTGTTTTAAAGTGTTCTTAATTCTATTAATATTATTAATTATACATATGCAGTTAATATTATTCAATAATTTTACTACAATACATAGTTATACAGGGTGGTGGTGGTAAATTGACTCCCGATATTTTCGGGACATATGGTATTTCGGAAAATAAGGGTACCTTTTTATTAGAGAATAAATAAGGTTTGTTTTAAAAAAATTTAAATTTAAACTTGAAATTTCAAGTCCAAACGTCAAATTTTTATTTTAAAACATGAAATTTTGAGTTTGACCTAAAGTCCTACTGTTAATTCCAATTTTAAAGTTGAAATACAAAATTTAGCAGTTTGAACTTGAAATTTAAAGTTTAAATTAGAAATTTTTTAATTCCACACACAGATTGTCAAGTTAGAAGCGTGAATTTTGAGTTTGTAGCTGAAATTTGAAGTCTCCAATTAAAATTTTGAGTGTGATTTACAAACTTTAAAATATGAACTTAAAATTCCAAGTTTTAATTTAAAAATGCAAGTTTAAAGCTCAGAAATTTAAGTTTGAAGCTTGAAATTTTGAATTTGAATACAAAATTTCAAGTTCAAATGTAAAATTTTGATTTTAAAACATGACATTTGACCTAAAGTCCTAGTGTTAATTCGAATTTTAAAGTTGAAATACAAAATTTAGCAGTTAAACTTGAAATTTCCAGTTTAAATTAGAAATTTTTGAATTCCATGCACAGATTATCAAGTTAGAAGCAAGAAATTTTGAGTGATTTCAAACTTTAAAATTTGAACTTGAAATTTTGAATTTGAATACAAAATTTCAAGTTCAAATGTAAAATTGTAATATTTTGAGTTTGACCTAAAAGTACTAGTTTCAAATGGAGATTTATTTAAAGTTGAATCACAAAATTTTCCGGTTGATTCGAAAATTTTAAAAGTTTGAACTTGAAATTTCAAGTTTAAATTAGAAATTTTAAATTCCATGCACAGAATTTCAAGTTAGGAGCATGAATTCTGAGTTTGAAGTTGAAATTTGAAGTTTAAAACAAAAATTTTGAGTGTGATTTATAAACTTTAAAGTTTCAACTTGAAATTCCAAGTTTTGATTTAAATCTGCGAGTTCATACAATTTTCATTTTAAAACATGACATTTTGAATTTGATCTAAAAATTTTAGTTTAAATGCAAATTTCATTTAAAGTTGAAAAACAAAATTTTCAGGTTGATTCGCAAAATTTAAAAATTTGAACTTGAAATTTCAAGTTTAAATTAGAAATTTCGATTTCCATGCTCAGATTGTCAAGTTAGAAGCATGAATTTTGAGTTTGAAGTAGAAATTTGAAGTCTACAAAAATTTTAAAATTTGAAATTGAAATTCCAAGTTTTAATTCAAAACTGCGAGTTCAAAGTACAGAATTTTAAGTTTGAAGCATGAAAATTTGAATTTAAATACAAAATTTCAAGTTTAAATTAGAAATTTTGAATTCCATGCACAAATATTCAAGTTAGAAGCATGAACATTGAGTTTCAAGTTGAAATTTGAAGTCTACAATTAAAATTTTGAGCGATTTATATACTTTAAAGTTTGAACTTGAAATTCCAAGTTTTAATTTAATACTGCGAGTTCAAAGCACAGAATTTTAAGTTCGAAGCATGACATTTTGAATTTGAATACAAAATTTCAAGTTCAAATGTAAAATTTTGATTTTAAAACAAGACATTTTGAGTTTGACCAAAAAATTTTAGTTTAAATGCAAATTTCATTTAAAGTTGAAAAACAAAATTTTCAGGTTGATTCACCAAATTTAAAAGTTCGAACTTGATATTTCAAGTTTAAATTAGAAATTTTGATTTCCGTACACAGATTGTCAAGTTTGAACATGAATTTTGAGTTTGAAGTTTGAAACTGCGAGTTCAAAGCACAAAATTTTAAGTTTGAAGCATGAAAATTTGAATTTAAATACAAAATTTCAAGTTCAAATGTAAAATTTTGATTTTAAAACATGAAATTTTGAGTTTGACCTAAAAGTTCTATTTTAAATTCGAAATTTTAAAGTTGAAATACAAAATTTTCAGGTTGATTGGCAAAATTTAAAAGTTTGAATTTGAAATTGCAAGTTTAATTTAGACATTTTGAATTTTATGCACAGATTTTCAAGTTTGAAGCATGAATTTTGAATTTAAGTTAAAATTTGGTCTACAATTAAAATTTTGCACGATTTACAAACTTTAAAATTTGAACTTGAAATTCAAAGTTCAAAGCAAATAATTTCAAGTTTGAAGCATGAAATTTTGAATTTGAATACAAAATTTCAAGTTTAAACTGGAAATGTCATATCAAAATTTTAAGTTTAAACTTAAAACCATGTTCAAATTTAGAATTTCACGCTTTAACTTGAAATTTTGTGTTCAAACTAGAAATTTCCTGTTTTAAAATAAAAATTTGAAATTCAAAGTTTAAATTTATAATTTTGTAAACAAATAAAAGAAACATCCGTTACTAACCATATTTGGAAAAGGTACCCTTAATTTTTGATGTATTATCTGTCCCGATAATACCGAGGGACGACTTAACAACCCTTTACATTTAATTTGAATGTAACTGCCAATTACACAAAGTATATTTTCTATTTTCCGTCGACGAGTGAAATTGTGTATGCTAAATCCGCAGGAATTAAATAATGCATAATTTGTAATTTGCTTTTCGCGTCGTGCATTTCGATCCTTCTTTGCAGCTCAATCTAATGTAAGGGCGAGGTTGCAATTGTCAATTTTTCGACTTCGATCGAAGTTGGAACTAGAACTTTCCGTACAGAAGTTAAATTTTAGTCGTTGGCGTAGCGCGGGGTAAGGAATGCCAGTAAAATATTTAGTGGCAACGGAGAGTTCGCAAATGTTTCTGTAGTGGCGTTGTTCGTTTGTTTTAACAATTGAGGCTATTTTAGAAGTACTATATTAGTATTTTTTTGTATTTTAGGGAATTTGGGCAATATCGTCTGTGTTCTGTAGTTTTCTTTTTATTTCGTTTGATTTCTGCGACTACTTTATAGACACGTAGTTTTAGTCGCAGATGTTGAATTTTACGTAGTTTTTAATTGATTGTGAAGGAAAAACATTGTACTGAATGAGAGCCTTTTGAGTAAAAAGAATATTTAAGTCGTATTTTAGTTACGGTTGTTTCACGTTCATGTTTTTGTTTTTAATTTTAAGCGAGTGTGAATCTTATCGATGTGCATTGTACTTTTTAGGTATATTTTTATTCTTATTGTTATTTTCGTTTTTTTAAGTACAACAAATTAACGTGAAACATCTGACTACAAATAGGCAAATAGTATTTAACTGTGATTTTAGAGAGCATTTTTTTTATTTTGTCATATAGTTTAGTTTTGTTTTAAGGAATAGATATATTACAGTTTCAGTGGTGTTTTATTTCGAAATTACCTTTCCCGCAAGCAGTCGAAATATTTCCTTCAACGATTTTTATTTTTCTGTGTATTTTGATCTCTAGCATCAAGAATTTTTTTTCTAAAAGAATCAAAGAATTAGCTGAAAAATGCTAGAAAATATATATTTAGAACAAAACACTTAGAAGGGCCATATTTTTTTTTATTATTCAAATTTTCAAATTTGAAATTTCCAAATTCTAATTAAGTTTTGGCTTTAAGTAAAAAAATCTTGAGTACCTGCCTCAAATTTCATGTTTACATTCAAATTTCGAGTTTGAAGCAGAAAATTTTGAGTTCGATAACGAAACTCGGTATAAATTGGGTTTGACATGCCAAAATTTAAGTTTGAATCACTATATTTTTGAGTTTAAACATGAAATTTGGTTTCAATAAGAAATTTTGTGTTAGGAACACAAAATATCGAGTTTGAACATGACATTCTAAGTTTAAAACCATAATTTTGGGTTTGTTGTGCCAATTTTTGAGTTTGAGTCACTATATTTTGAATTAGAACATGAAATTTTGTGTTGGAGACGTGAAGTGTTGAGTTTGAACGTGAAATTTTAAGTTTAACTGAAATTTCAAGTTTGAAACTGGAAATTTTGAGTGGCACAAACAAATTTCAAGTTATAATTAAAAGTTTTGGCTTTAAGTAAAAAAATCTCGAGTACCTGCCTGAAATTTTATGCTTACACTCAAATTTCGGGTTTGAGTTTGGTCACGAAATTCAAAATTTCGAGTTTGAAACATTTAAACATTTGTTGTGCCAATTTTTGAGTTTGAGCCACTATATTTTGAGTTTGAACATAAAATTTACTTTTAACACAAAATTTTGTGTTGGACACGAAATTTCGAGTTGGAAACTGGAAATTTTGGGTTTGCACACACAAATATTTGTATAAATCCGAAATTTTGAGTTTGATGTGCCACTTTTTGAGTTGAGTATTTTCAGTTTGAACATGAAATTTAGTTTCAACACAAAATTTTAAGTTTAAATTTGAAATTTCGAGTGAAACTGGAAATTTTGAGTTTTCACTGCAAAACTTTAAGTAAAAATACGAAATTTTAAGTTTGATGTGCCAAATTTTGAATTTTAATCATTGTATTATGAAATTGAACATTATATTTGATTTCAACACGAAATTTGGGTTGGAAGCACGAAATACTGAGTTTGAACACAAAATTCAAGATTAAATTCGAAATTTCAAAAAATTAAGAAATTTTGTTTTATTTCTTTCCCTACAGGGAAAGAAATTACAAGAAAATGAGCAGTAATTTTTATTTGGGGAACTATGATCTTTCGGCATCTTAATTTTTTTTTCGTAAAAGAATCAAAGTGCCCAGAAGTAAATTAAAAGTGTTGCAAAACATGTATTTTAACGAATTATAACTACTTTTCCTGTACATTCTATGATGACAAGAAACCACAAGAACGTCGAGACAATACGTACATGTGAAGGTAAGTAAATTTTGTAGATGTTGAACTGTCATTGTATGTTTGTAGTCAATTGGAAATATTATGGAAACAATTGTTTGTTTAAATTTATCGGTAATTTTTAACCTTCTGATATAACTAATAATATTCTAATATAACTAAACACAGTTTGTGATGTAATATTTCGCATTAAAGGAAAAAATTGACCGAATTTTTACTGGAATACATATCGTGATTTGTATGAAATTCCACATTATTCGTAACTGGTTGGCGATGCATTCAATCACATTTTGCCGTTTTCCTCAAAAACATTGCGTTTTACGAAAAAAATATCAAGATACAAAAAGTTTCTAAATTCAATGGCTTTCTAGAGGACTAATAAGTTCAAATATGTGGCAA